AATGTACACATAACAAATCTTATTTTGCATTGTCAAAAAAACGTCAATATTTCAAATATAAATAAGCAAATTATTAACTGAAAAAATTTGAATATTATTATTAATGAAATAATGGACTTGGACAATGGACATATAAAAACTAGCACCGTAGACGGCCGCTTGCGGCCGTCGGAGGAGCTAGTAATACTAAAAAGTCCATCTTGACTCTTAGAGAGACTTTTTTTAACGTAAAGTAAGTTATATAAAACATAATCTGATATAACCCTTGTCAATAATAAATATATTTTACTCTATATAGAAATTGAAATAGTTATTTTCGTAACAAGGGCGCAAAATAGGTGATTGCGACGATGGCGAAATGAAGGGACCGAGGGGACACAATTTCGCGCCCGAGGCGAAGCCGAGGGAGCGAAAGTGTCCCCGAGGTCCCAAAATTTCGCCAAAGTCGTAATCACCTTTGCGCCCATGATGCGAACATAATTTTTTATCCTAACTGCATGGAAAGTATGGCATTGAGGGCACGCACGATTAAACGCTCATATTAGTTAAAAATTAAGCTCTATATAAACATTATATCGAATGAAGTCTATAATGATAGAAGTTTTAAAATAGAAATAAAAAATAATGTATTCTGGAAACATAGTATTTATTTAGAACGTAGTAATTAATAATTAAACAAAACTGAAACAAGAACTTTTAAAATTGACAATTTTGATAAACGAAATGGGAACAAAACTAAATGTCTCATAATTTTTTTAGAGAAAATAAAAAAAAATTGCAAATTTTTAAAGGTAAAATAAAACAAGTTGAAAATATTTGTAGTTCTATAGTCAACTTAAAAAGAAAGTCGAAAATGTCGCATTTTAATGAAGAAAATCGAATAATTAACAAGCGGGCGCAAAATACTTTTCCGCCCGCTCGGAGGTAGGGGAAGCGGGCGCAAAATACTTTACCGCCTGCTTCCCCCACTCCCGGGCGTAATGTGTTACTTTGCGCCCGCCTTAAGTGCCCGAAATGACATACTTTCCGTGCAGGTAGGACAAAAAATTTTTGACGTAACTCGCATAAAATCGAATTTTCATTTAGCGATAACTTTTTGAGCAATTTTTTTTATGTTTGGGATTTTTTGTCATTTATCTATGTGAAGGGTAGAAAAAGGTAAATTAGACAAGTGTGCCAATTATAATATTCGAGATAATAAGCTGTTTATAACTGTAATTGCATTTTCACCTTTTTTTGAAAATCATTAATTTTCTTATAATACTTGTTGAGCGATCATTATTTAAAATTCGCCCATATACACTGAAAAAAAAGTTCTGGTTAGGGTATATTTAACACGATATTCTAGTTAAAAACAACCAGAATTCTGGTTAAATTAACTAGAATTCTGGTTAACCTAACCAGAAAAAATCTAGTTAGGGTATATTTAACACGAAATTCTAGTTAAAAACAGGTTTTCTGGTAATTCCAACCAGAACTTTTTTTCAGTGTATTATTTATATTTTTAGGTATTCAGAAAAAGAATTATGGGTGGTAGAACATTGTGCCACTTAAAACATCTACGAAATCGTTCTGCGAAAACGCGCAACGAGTGCGTAACTCGTTGTCAAAAAATGATTTTTCGACGAGCACAAGAAATCACATTTAAAAAAATGTATTCACCTTCGTGTAATATCTTGGTTTAGTGTTAATAAATATGTGTGCAAAATGCTCACCCCTAAAAATAATATTTGTGGTTGATATTGAATAATTTTTGTACGAGATAATGTTACTTAGGGCCGATTTCACCAACACCGATTAAAAGTTAATCAATGATTAAATCCTCAATTAACAAATCAGAAGCCTTTAAACTGTCTTTAATCATTGATTAACTTTTAATCGGAAGTTGGTGTAACTGGCTCTTAGTCAATTAGGGTCATTTGGGGTAAATGTAAACAAGGGGTAAATGTAAACAGTAGATGTTTCAGCTAAATTTACAAATTTAAAAATAAGTACGACGTCAATATTTTTACCTCAGCTCACCTACAAGATGTTCTGAGTATTGCCAATATTTTATTTTGACAATTGGCAATGCCATAGTGTAAGTTATTTTTCAATGCAAAAAAAATTGAAAATCAAAATTTTACTGTTTCAGTATTTTGTCTCGCATTTGCATAAAAATATATTTAGAAATCAAACAAAAATATGTAATTCTTCCTTATTAATGCCCTAACAAAAATTGACTTTGATTTTTGATTTTCGTCAATTTAGTTAATAAATAATTAAGTGTTTACATTTACCCCGAGAATTCGAAAACTCGGGGTAAATGTAAACAGAACTTCAACTACATTTTAAAAGAAAATAATTGAATAAATTTGCTTCTATTTCACAACTTCATTAATTTGGTAATGTTAAATTACATAGAAAAGAAAATTAGGCCCTCTTTAAAAAAAAATTGATAAAAAAAAGAAACAAAAATTTTTTTTTGAAAATTTGATCAATTTTTAAAAATATTTTTAGGTTCATCCGCCATTTTGAAAATTTAAAATTTGACTTCAAATTCGTATTCAGCGACCTCAAAAACCCCCTAGTAACCAGATACAAACAAATTTAATCAATTTTTAAAAATATTATTTTTAGGTTCATCCGCCATATTGGATTCACCATTTTGAAATTTAAAAATTCGATTTTAGATTCTTATTCAGCAACCTTAAAAACTTCTTTTTACCAAGTTGAATGAAAATCTATTAAAATTTGTTCAAGTTATTCAAGTTTTTACATTACTAATTTTGTAATGGTTGATTGTTTATTTATATGATACATTATCAGTTAACTGGTTGATTTACTCTACATCTACAAAGAATTTCTTTTCAGTTTTTCCATCCCTTAAAACAGTAGTATACTTGAAATAACTTATTGTTTCTTAAACCTCGCTTAACTACAGTGGTGTTTACATTTACCCCGAATTTTAGGAAAATTTCAAAATCTCGGGGTAAATGTAAACAGTCAGTTTTAGGCGATTCAGGTGCATTAATATTTCTTTGTACCTCATAAAATTTTTCTAGGGAACACTAGCAACAAGTTCATGCAAAAGAAATCCGTCCGTTTTACCTTTTAACAAAAAAAACTAATGTTTTTGGTGAAACATAGATATTCCGTTTACATTTACCCCAATTGACCCTATAGTGCCATTTTAGGAAAAAATATATTTGAACTATATCGCGTGTAGATTTTTGATAAATGTAAGTTTAGGTAGATAAAGGAAAATGTTTTTTGAAGGGTTGTAAAATATTATAAATTTTTGAAGATAAATACGTTTTACCTGCACTCATAACCATAAATATGAAAAAAATAGTTTAAATAAAGTAGCAATTAATAAATATGAATTACGCCGGTTAAAATATACTTCTGTTTGGTCGAAGAATAATAATTTATGGTAAAAAAAATGTGCCACTAATTTAAAAAATAAATTTTGTGCAACACCTGTAAGGAAAGTAATACTTTGCATGCCTGTAAAGTAGGCGCAAAACAGTACTTTGCTGCACTAGTGCGGCAAAGTGCTTACTTTGCTGCACTAGTGCGGCAAAGTGCTTATTTTGCTGCACTAGTGCGGCAAAGTGCTTACTTTGCTGCACTAGTGCGGCAAAGTTCTTAAACTTTTGGGTTTTTTTGGTGATATACATAGGTATTTGTTTTCTATTTGTAGAAGACCTGTTTTTTACAGTAATATACGCGTAAAAAACCATGAATATTACGTGCGGTAACATACGTTCCAAACCCTGCTAAACAGTACGTATGTTGGCGTCAACTAGCGTTTCCAAACAGCTTTTTTATCAAAACCAAAAGGTGTTGCACAAAGTACTGTGTGCAACACGTACGAAAGAAGATTTTCCAACTTCGTGCAAATTGCCGCCCTCGCTTCGCTCGGGACAGCAAACTTTGCACTCGTCGGAAAACAGCTTCTTTCTGTACTTGTTGCACAATATACTATTTTTACAACAAAAAGTCCCCATTTCGTGAGCTTTCCCCATATATTTATATTAATATATTTTATTCAATAATAAATATATTTAGTTAGCAAATTTTACTTTACGAAATAATTGTTAAGAATAATTATAGATTTTAATTATAATTAAAACAATTATTACATACATTTTTTTTATTATTGTCTTTTGTAGCAAATGTTTATAAAAAATTATTTATGAGAAAGTTATTTAATTTATAAAGTTTACTTAATGAGTAAGTATAAAATAAAATTAAAATTTTACTCCTTCATACTTCTGTACTTTTTTGTTGCTAAAAAATTAATTTTATTATTAAAGATAAATATAAAATTTCTTATTTTTGTTATTTCGAACAAGAAAGATAAATATTTTAATTTTTTAAAGGATTTTCCTTTAAAATACATGTATTCGTACAGCAGGACGCGGACAGCTCTATCTCGTGGCCAAATCTCGCACATAGTACGTATCATCACTAAGGACTTGAAATTTTTGGGTATAGTCATACCGGGGTGGTTTGGGCGAATATACTCGCAGGGTGGCCGCAAGATTGACTTTATTAATTTCCCTGACATTTTACTGACATAACAGCAAACCTCCCTGACAAAAATTTTTTTGTTTAGAGCAAAAAATGTATTGCATGACCGTCTTAATTTCTTTCATTGCCCTGACAAAAAAATTTTTCCTGACATTTCCCTGACTTTACTGACAAAAATTTGTTTTCTTGACATTTCCCTAACTTTACTGACAAAATAATTTTTTCCCTGACATTTCCCTGACTTTACTGACATGTGGCCACCCTGACTCGTCACGGTACGCAGGAAGGTTAATATATATTCCATAAAAATTCTGTTACTTCCCCTTAGTGTATCCTGGAAACAAATTCATTCAAATCAAATAATTGTTGCCCACATAATTCAAAATTAAGTTATATTGATACGCAATGTTGCTTCAATTTCAAGTAATTAATACATTTCTTGTATATGTAGGAGTGAATAAAGTATGAATATTACTTTCTAGTACATGGGTCTATGGTATGCAGCTACAAAATATTTTGCCATTTTCGAATTTGGAGGAAAGTGCACTACTGCTAACTACAGTTTAAATTCCAACGGTTCAGTTAATGTTATAAACAGACAAATTAACATTTTGTAAGTATGCTTTTCTAAAAATTGAATATTACTTTGAGAAAGGTGTGTACCAGATGATCCTCCAAGGGCTGCATCCATAAACTACGTTACTAATTCCTTTTTAGAACTCCTCCCCCACGTTACCTTTGCGTTACAAGCATCTTTATAAATTTTTACACCTCTCGACATAAATTGGTAACGTAGTTTATGGATGGCTCCTAAGTGAAAATAACCATTATTCAAAACATAATCAACATATATTCCACTTTTATATCTAACTGTTCTAATATTAAATATATGCAGAAAATTAATGTTTTACTATTAAATTTCTTTTTTTAAAAACCTTTTAAAAGGATCTAAAATTTTTATACATCGATCGAAAGTACGTACTTCCCACTTCTATTTCGCAGCAGAAAATAAAAAATTTAAGCTTTAGTTGATCTAGACACTAGCCCTATGTTAACTGTCTGCTGATGCTACCTAGTAAGAAGTAAGGAATTGGGAAGAATTGAACATTTTTAACTTTTTACAGAAAATGTTAAATTATCAATTTTTTTGAATTCCGTTTCTGTCCAATTCCTATGTATTCCTTTTTGAGGCGAAGATTTTTTGAAAGTGAATTCCAATCAATTCCGTTTTAATATTTCTTTAATTTTTGAATTTTTGTGAATTCCGAAATACTGTGTGATTCTCGGTAAGTTCACACGGAGAGAAGAGTTATAGTGGGTTGTACTATTACGCGTTTAGTAAGAAAATTTGAGTTGCGATAAATGAATATAAGGTAAAGGTTACAAAACAGCGTTCAATTTTTTTGTTGTCTATCGAACTAAACATAGTAGTAAAGATGAATGTCTGCTTAGTAAAGCAAACAAAACTGATTCTATTCTAGATTTTTTAATCAGATTATTAATTTAGATAAAAAATATATTAAAATTTTAAATTAATTAAAAAACTTTTTAAAACAATCAAACGAAATCTTGATAAAATGTCAGTTTTCAAAACATTTATATTTGCTATGATACTTATTATTTATACTTATTATTACAATAACTATTAAATTAGGTTATTGTTATTATAATTATAAAAATTAATTTTAAACTGTTTATTTAATTATGCCACAAATATAAAAAAAATCTTTTATAATTTTCTTCATTAAACTAAACAATTATAACAAAATTATAGTTTTTAAATTAATTTAGTATTTTAACCTTATATCGCCGTCAGTTCTTTTTTGTAAAATATTTCTTGATTTTCATTGCGATCACCATAAAACAAAAATTCTCGGGAAATAATTAATATTTAGTTATTTAATTAATACCATATTTGACAAAATTATTTTTAGCAAGTGTTAATAACTCTCATATTTATTAAAAAAGAGGTTAATTTTTATTTTTGTAAATTGTAAACTGAAACGTGAATATGACAGTTCATATCGTAGACGTTACTTATCAAATTGGTAGTCTTGGTAACTAAACTACTGTTTAGTGAAGCTTACTTTTTGTTTTGTTGAACGAAAATGTCACCATATTGTTTAGTAACTATGACTCAGGGCTGAGTAAGATTAACTACTTTCTTCTCTCCGTGCAATTCCTGTCTATTCCGTTTTAATATTTTGTAATCTTTTAATTCCTTTGAAGTTTGCAACACTTTTAGATATAAGTGCTTCTTAAATTCGGTAGTCATAGTACAGTTTAAACAGCTGAGCGGACAAGCTGTTTGTCTCCGACAATGAAACTTGAGGGTTCAAATCTTCGGACCGACAAATTTTTTTTCCGCTTAAAATATTAAAACGGTATTCAAAAGAATAAACTTAGCTTCTTTTCGTCTTCTCCAAATGAAAATGAAAAGAATTGGTCACAAACGGAATTCAAAAGAATTAAAACTTTCGAATTCTTATTAATTCTTTACTTCTTACTGGGTAACGACCATTATCGTCAAAAATCGTCATTCTGGACGCCTGGTGGGGACTACGTTCATTGTCCATAGAGTGGGGATAAGTTAGCATTAGCAGAGGGTTAAAGTGGGAGTAAAAGAATCCTCTGTCGGTAAATGAGACAAAGGGTTATTTGGCTCCAGGTCAAAATATAGGTCAATTTTGAACTATTTTCTACCTACAAGTAAAAAAAAGTCCCATAAGAACTCATTAAAGGGACATTACCTTAGTTCAAAATTTATGTCAAATTTGACCAATTTTTTAACCTACACTTCAAAAAAGCTGCCCCATTAAGGCCCTTCAAGGGTTCGTGCCCTTATGTCTAAATTTAGGTCAAATTTGACCATTTTTTACCTGTACGTTAAAAAATAGGTAACATTTGACTTGAATTTTGACCTAGGGTAACAACCTTTTGGAGGATCCTTTTGAGGACACTTTTTGACCTGTAGGTTGAAAAATACGTGAAATTCGACCTAATTTTTGACGTAAACTAACACTACTCCTGAGGGGGGCCTTGTGAGGTTTTTTTTGTAGGCCCTCTAAGGAGCTCTATAAGGTCCCCAAAGGAACGTTACATATCAAAAAACTTTACGGTTGACCTATGGACCAAAATAATCATTTGTTATGATACATCAAAATTATGGTTAAATTTGACTAATTTTTTGCCCTGGAAGTGTCATTTTAATACAATAGATTATTATTTACATGTAAGAGGATGTAAAATTATTTCAACAGTTATGGGTTAAGGGTTGTTAAGTTATACTTAACAACAAAGTATATATTAAGTATATACTTATATATATGAAATATATTTTTTATCCCACATGCACAAAAATAACGCTTTTAGATAGCTGACGACAGGGAGTAAAGTCACTCATTTGTTCGACCATATGAAAATGGCGTCCATTTTATCCCATGTGCAAAAGTAACAGCTGATCCTATGCATTATTTTTGCCCAAGGGAGAAAACGGCCGCCATTTTCATATAAGTCGAACAAGTGACTGACTTTAATTCTCTGTCGTCTGCTATTTGAAATCGCCATTTTTGTGCATTAGGAATAAAAAATATCGTAAGTAACATGGGAATAAAGGCATCCCAATGGGGATCATTATATGTAAAGCTAATCTCAGATGGCAGCACCATAGCAAGATTTGTCTAGAGCTTAATTTTTGATTTCGCGAAAAGTCATATTTGTTTTACAAACAAATGGGCGAAGTAAATAAATACTTTTTTTGGAATTGTGTAAAGTTAAAAATTGAATTACTTGGGTGAGGAATTTGTGTCACAGGAAAAAAGACGGTTTTGCAAGTCACAGTATCGTAAAAGTATAGATAAAAAAAATTGAGGTTATGTTGCCTGTTATTAAAAATATTGTAAACACATTTTAATTTTGAATCTCCCAACATCTTTAAATAGTTTTCTGTACTTTATTATAACCAATATTTCTGATCTAATGATTTTATTCTTCATTCACATGAACAAAAACCATTTATATTGTTTAATTAATATTATGCAACAAATTACATTTAAAATTTTGCGCCATAAAATCTTATAGTAGTGCTGCACTCTACTGGTCAAGTTTGGCTATGAGGATCCCCATTTGTTAACGATGATTTTTGTGACACTCATTCCGGTCTCGCGGGCCCTCGACCTTCACTCGTGCCTTAAAAATCACCGTAAACAAATGGCTGCCTTTATACACGGAGAGATCGAGGTTACTAATTTCTGGGACGCATGACGATTCCCGACAAAAATCCTGTATAATATTCGATACACCTTATTTCATTTGTCAAAACTTCTTTTTCATGTAATTTTCTTTTATAAGAATAAGAATGTGTTGCAAATTGTTTATAAACACAATGTTTTTTCAATTAATGCTAATGAATGAAAATAATAATTAATATGAAGATGGAAATAAGAGAATGTTTAAAAACTTGATTTCATAATATATAAATTTTTATTGAACCGAAATAATTTTGAAAAGAAACTTTGTTTTGATAAATTTTTGTTAAATAGAATTATAGTTTAGCAAATATTTTAGGTAATAAATAGTTTATAATGGAAAGTTTACATTTATTAAAACTTGCATATTTCAAAACTTAAATTGCAACAAAATGTCATTTTTCAGAATTTATGTTAAAGCAGCTTTCATTGAATGCAAATTATTAAACAGAAAAATTTATAATTGACTAAATGTTTAGTAAAATGAATTATTAAATGTTAATATTTTATTACAACAAAATTTTCTTTCATGTTATAGTTATTAAATAGATATTAAATTCAGTTGCTTGTTTATTTAGATAAATTCTATAATTTTTCAATTAATATATAAACGAATTTTCATATTACAAATTTTTTAAATAATTTAAATGTTATGTGACTGAGTTTACATTAGATCGAATTTTAATTTGTCGACATTTTTATTTGCTGGAATATCTATTAAACGAAATGTTCATTTAAACGAATTTTCAATAAACAAAAAATTCTATAATGAATTCCTTCTTAACGTACTTATTATTTCATTGAAATATTATTTCACGGAAAGTTAATTTAATCGATTTTTTATATGTTTCAGATTCGTTGTCTAATAGAAATTCAATAAACGGAATCTTTGTTTAGTGGAATTTTCATTTTTCTGAATGTTCAAATGCTATGAATTTCATTTGTAGAATTTTATGTGACCGAATTGTTATAAATATTAATTTCTACATTACCGACATTTAAATGATTTAAATGAGTTTCGGCGATATTAAGTTTCGTGTGTTTACATGTCGGTAATGTAGAAATTAATATTTATGACAATTCGGTCACATAAAATTCTACAAATGAAATTCATAGCATTTGAACATTCAGAAAAATGAAAATTCCACTAAACAAAGATTTAAATGATTTAAATGAGTTTCGGCGATATTAAGTTTCGTGTGTTTAAATGTCGGTAATGTAGAAATTAATATTTATGACAATTCGGTCACATAAAATTCTACAAATGAAATTCATAGCATTTGAACATTCAGAAAAATGAAAATTCCACTAAACAAAGATTCCGTTCATTGAATTTCTATTAGACAACGAATCTGAAACATAAAAA